CATTGGCTGTTTACTTACTGTGTTGTGTGTGACGTTTAATAGTCTCGTCAGGTCTTAAGGCATTATCTGTATACTTTGCGGTTTGGCATGAACTGGGCCGATCAGCAAGTTTACCGACTATGCATTTTAGGTTGGCAGATGCACCCGTAGATCAAACTATTGTCCTGATATATTCTCGCAATTTTCGATGGCTTGGCAGATAGAAATTCTTAAACAGTACACAGAAGAATAAATCAGATTTAGCGTTTCGGTTCATCAAATACAGTCATACAGGTTTGAAACCGGACTCCTAATAGTATAAGGCTATCCATGCTTGGGAAACTTTGATTAAGAAAAATAGCGTTAACACGATTGCATGTCGCTGTAAAGGCGTTCTGCTCACGAGAATAATTGTCATTTTCAGCCACAAGCCCCGGCAGAATGAAACAACCCCCCCCTCCCGTATAACAGAAGGCAATGGGTCGAAAAATTATATAGGTGAAACGGAGGACAAACCACTGTTTAACCGAATTTCTTACGAACTTGACACGAAATTCTATCAACTGTAGCATCTTCGGAAAATCACAAACCTCGGGTATTGCTTTCCCGCCCAGCTGTAGACCACGCAGTTCGCTAAGGGGTAGTGGGTCCAGACCCTCATCGCAGCTGTACGGTCACTCCATGTTTGTCGATGCGATTGGAAGGGCCTCGAAAGTCTTTACACTGACGAATACACCCTTCCGCAGATACACTGCCGGCAATTTCCCCGCAGGTAGATGTGGCCTGGGCGACGGAATCCAGGTCTTGTAGCGAGGACACTACTACGGTCGTAGCTAGTACTTACAAGCAATACATTAACGGTCCCCGCCAAACGTCTCGTAGAACCTGGAGGATACCTCGTCCAGTCCCGGCACCCCACCTTCATCTGTGCCTCCATGGAGTCGTGCTTAGCACGGCGGCCATACACCGGTAACGGCCTTTGACCGGCGCGCTACACCAGAGGGGAGTGTCCGACGTGTGTGTGTGTTTTCACACCCAGTACCTGAACTGATTTCCCTCTCCACCGTTCTATGTAGAGGGCGAGATGCAGTCACGTAGACGATCCAGACCAATTCCGGTTGTCTTACTACTGACCGAATCGTGAGCTATAGTGAAATCCGTCACCCTATTCGGATGACGAGGCAGCCCTATTTAGGGATAGATAAGTGCCCTAAAATTGCTGTCGACAAGATGATCGCGGAGTATGGATACAAAGAATGCAATCAAAAACCTGCCGAAATCCACCGTCCCCGTAGTTTGTCAAAGTAATACTGTCCACACGTAAACCCACCTAACCACCGACACCAGCAACATAGACAACCCCAGCCTGTCCCTACTAAGGTCAGACATGTGACTTAGGAATAGGATTAATAGGAATGTTAACGGGTCCGCTAAGTGATGACCGGCGAAACAATGTCAATAGAACCGATACACGCACGGCTTAACTATCCATACTGTCAGACACAAGCCATATGTGCATGACAGTCAAACTTCCACCACATCAGTAACCGCTGGATGCTCGTCCGCAGATGTGAAATAAGGAACGTATGGTGCATTGGTGTTGACGTCTGTTGTATTATATCACCGACTGGGTCAAATCTCTTGCTCAGGTAACGTGACTCGGACAAGCCATTGCTCTATGAGGGAGCGGGCCCGGTACTGGTGAATGCATCCCTGCGTCAAATAAGCGCATTCCTCACAAATATCAAACCCCACGCACTTCATTCTCTGGTGACTCGCTCTAATCAATGCTGGCATGGATGTCTGCAACGGTCTGGGCATCTCGTTCCTGCTCATGCCTTAGCGTCAGGCCGCAATGCCTCTGTCAATGCTTTCCTTATGACGGCCTGACTTGCGTGAGGCCTTGGGCCGTTGGATGCATGCTGGCAAGTGTGTGGAGTTAGGGAGCTGTTGCGTTTTGTATAATCAACCACGGCTGCCAACAAGCGTGGCATCTCGCTGCTACTCAGAACTGAGTGTCAGGCTGCAATGCCTCCCGCTTTGTGTGGTCGTTATGACAGTCTTACCTGCATGAGACCTGTGACCGCCGGATGCATGCAAACTTCTGCAGGGAGAACTTGTAATGTGGCAGGCGTATGCAGGCTTTCTAACTTTGTCGGCCGCTGTGCTCGACAAAATGTTTGTCTACGAGGGAGTGAAGCCGGTAATGGCGAACGCACCTTCACAATGACCAAACTGACGCACTCAAGTCAGTATTGGAAATGATGTCTGCCAACTGACGTGGCAACTCACGCCAACTCAGATACGAGGGTCATACTGCAATGACTCAATATGATCTATCGTTCATGACAGTCTGACAGGTGTGCGATCTCAGATCATCGGACGCAACCGACACGAGTGGAGTTGGTGTGTGTGTGTGATGTGGTAGGCGCAGACAGGTTTTTTTTAGGTGTTTTAGCCACTGCGACCATTTCCATGCCTAGCTAGCCTGGTTTGGAAAGCCACTGGCCTATGAAGGAGAGACAGGTTCCGATGAGTGCGCATTCAAGGAGAAGTGTGACATCTCTACTTCAGTCTGAAGCACTTCAATCGGTTCTGGTTTGGCCGGCTGCTAAACGAAGTGGCGACCCTTATTCACTCAGGACTGAGCGGTAGGCTGCAATGACTCCATTTGGGAGTCTTACTCACATAAGCTGCAAGACTGATGGTCACACGCTGGAATGTGTAGGGCCGTCTGTCAGTCAGCCATCACGCCTAATCTCATGCCTATTCGACATATTAATGATAAGTCATTCGAGTACGGGCGGGTGACGTCGACATTCTAAAATACATACATAGCAAATCAGCGCACCGTTTACTGAAGGGCTTTCAGAGGTCCTAGCAGGAGACTGTCAAATGACGTGGCTATTTGCTAACAGTCAGGGTTAAGAGTCAGACTGTAATTCCTCTGTCTTGATGTAGTCTTGTTGGCGGTCAGAATCGCGTAAGCCTCACGGCCACTAGGCGCACATGGTGACAAATAAGCGGCCTCGGACAGCACGGTGGCAATATCCTTTGTTTTGGTCGTTCAATCGGCCACCTGTAATAGTTCCCCAGGCGCTATCTGTACTACGACAGTGTTAATATTTTCTACCAGATGGGACTTCATCCGCCGACGTCAGTGCAGACCTAAAGCTTATCCTCAAATCCATGCGCCACAGAAAACCACCCTCCCACCGAGCAACCCCATGCGATTGCTGTCCGGTGAAACGCGACCCAACCGAGTTTTTAGATGCTCGGCTCGCGCACTCTGCTTCAACTTGCCAAGGGGAGGGAGGTGGCGGCTCCGAAGATATATTTTTTCGACGAGGTTCTGTTCTGCGGCCCCACTTGAGTGATGCCACATTGTAAGTTTTCTAAAAAATCTAATGGATGCCAGTACGCCGATTATCGAAATGTCATTTGCACCTTCCCTACAATTTCAATCCAGTTAGTAACTGTGCCACAGAAGGAGTGCTTGTATGCCAGTCCCGATTACATCAGGTATTATTTCACACGCGCTTCCCTGTGCGTGCTTCGGACCCTGCTTACGCCCTCTTTATTATCCTAATCCAGCAAGTGGCCAGGTAAGCCTGCCAACGGAATTGTTCGGACGGTGTGGAAATCTGTCGATCTCGGTACATTGGCCGTGCACTGCGAATTGCCCCGCGGTCACCCCGTGGCCCTCCATTTGTGATCACGCCCTCCTTATCCTCTCAATCCAGCGAGTGGCCGTGCCGGAGGGAGTGTGTACACGCCACCTCCACTCGCTTTCGTGCGCGTTTCCAGCTCGGCTTGCGCCATCTTTTCCTTCCAAACCCAGTGAGCGGCTAAGTTAGGTATGTTGACTAATATTGTCCTAGTAAGCCAATCATCTAGTATCACACGGGGGGCTGCAGAACCAAACCTCGCTACTTTTGCCTACATCAATAACCCATTATCCGACGGTCTCACTGTCGAGAAGCTCCGTGCGCAACAAGTCAGCATTCAAGATCCATGCAGGTTCCTAACCTGTGAGCTGCTGGCGCCAATAAGTGGCTCGCACTTGTCTTTCTTTCAGCCAACATACTATCTTATCTCAGCCTAGTCGTGGCTGGTCGGGCTACCACACACAAAAAACCCACTTATGCTGCGGGCCTCAGATTCTAACAGGCGCGGATGCGTTTAGAATCCTGAAATTCGAAAGTGAAATCTTCGTCTGGCACCTTTTAAGCTACTCAACGAAAATGCATTTGACCCAATTGTGAAAAACTCGGTTACCTCGATGAGATATAAACCCACGACAGCAAGGGCGTGGCTTGAGTACAGTCCACACTTTAACTACCTGAGCTACGGGGCCCCGTCAGGAGTCGTGAGTTTAATCACATGTGGGTCAAGCTACCCGCCCAGCCTACTGCAATGACTTTTTCAAAATTAGGTCAAATTAATTACTCAGATCTTCCGAAAACACCTATTAATTAAGTGAGCCTGGTAGTCATCTGGCGGATTCTAGATTGGTTACTTAGGACATCCTTCTGAGACAGTCAGCTTACTACAGCAGAATTCGTGGATTCCGTGTTACAGTAGACTGGAAGTGTAACTTGACCCAAATGTAATTAAGCTCACAGCCAGTGGCGCTTTGTAGTTCAGGTGGCTAGGGCGCTGGATGCATTCAAGCCCTGTCCTTGCTGTTGTGGATCCGAATAACACCGAGGCCGCCGATTTTTTCACAACTGGGTCAGATGAATTACTCAAGTACATTAATCAACAAAAAATCGACAATCTACGGCGTTAAAAGATGCAAGTTATTAAGAGAAAAAGAAGCCGGAAAAAAGAAGGTAATAATATGGATAACAGAAAAATGGCATAGATTACTAACAGCTGTGCAAGGCAAAAAATGTCATGTGCGATTTGAGAGAAGAGTAGAGGCGCTGGCCAAACAGCCACTGGTAGGAAGAAGTCTATCCAAAAAAGACAATGAAAGACTATAAAAGGTCAATAAACCACAGGAATTGCAGAAGGAGCTACATTAAATTGCACTCGAAGCTGCAACACGACAATTTGGAAGAACGCCGGTAAACACGGGGCGGGATGAGATTGAGGTCGGAGTCCTCGACAGACCTGTCTGTATTGCATCCATCCCACCGGGGTCCGTCTGTTAGCTTACTACCAGACAGGGTACTGTCGCAATTGGCGTCATATAGGTCGCTGGATGTAGAGGAAAGGTAAAGAACGTTTACTGAACCTGAATGTTACGCGATCAAACAGTTATTCTACAGCTCCTCCAAACTAGGCTCTGGATCTGTTAGGGCATAGTTGATGATGAGTGACATTTAACGACAAGAATAAAGATCAGCCTCAACAGCGAGCCAAGACTGCAAAATAACAGTTAGAGTATCCAGTACAGATAATTTTAAGGCGGAAAAGGCCTTAACCTCTGGCCTGCGCCACCCTCCCGATTGGGAATCGTGAAAATATAGCAGGCATAACCGGCCACTGGCATGCTAACAGTATTGTAAAAACCGAACATCCTAGTCATTTTGGCAAGAGTTCAAGCGGGCCGTGCAAACTTCATTGTGAAAACACTCATTTGCACGCTCTTCAATGATCAAATCTGTAGATGCCAGAGGGGGTCTATGTGGAGCTCCGACGGTTGGGATGAGTGGTACTAAGAGACAGGGTGCGAAGACTAACTTCTTAATAGAGCGTGCGATAACCTGTGCCGAGAGCAAGTATAGGCGTACCGAGGAACGACTTCAGAGTTGACATTTATTCTGACTCCATTAAGAACAGCAGACTACCAGTGATGTCGAATACGCCCGGGGTTGGTTGCTAGACCCGTGTGTGGTCCCCTGGGGTGTAGAGATGTCCAGTTGTGGGTCCGCGTGAAAGTCGTAGTAGTTTGCTCTCTTGCTGGCAGGTATAGACTATGCCCAGCGTCCATTGACTGGCATTGAATTCTCACCTGTTGCTCCCCGAAGCTAGGCTCTGTCTGCGCACCATTTATATTTCAGCAGCCAGTTAGCTCAGAGTGGGATGAGAAAGCTCTGCACCCCGTCCCCCTACCCTTCCCCCCATCACCCCCTTTCGAGTCCTACGGCGTGAGCGACAGCGATCACGTAGAGGCGGCCCAGGCTAACTCGGGTCGCTCTCCCACTAAACAAAGTCGTGGCCCATATTGGACTTCGGCAGCCATCTGGGATGACTGACCAGCCGTATTTGGGGAGAGCACTACTCATCCTCGCAGAGGCTCAACCAGCCTCCATCGGGGTGATGACTTATAGCGCAAACTGTCAATCCTGCCGAAAATCCACCAAAAGAACGAGACAGTGAAAAAAATCGCTCAGTTAAGGGCCGACTAACTCGGCAAGTCCATTATTTGAGTTCCTGCACTCAACGCTTTGATAAGGGTAAGTCGACCAAGCTCTCCCAAACGACATCAATTCGATAAATCTGTTCCAGTAAGCCATTTCTCCCTTTCGAATTGTCACCCTGGAAGTTTGATCTTTGTCAACATAAGTACGAAAACGTTGTCACCAAAGTTCAAGAGTCAAATGCAGGCATGCTAGCCCACAGAACTGCATACATCCGTATCCCTACATCCTGCTTGCTGGGGTGCATAATAAGAAATGTTACTGGACTGCCGGCACGGTGTGCGCTTCAAATGTTCACAAAAGCATGTGCGTGAGTTTAAAGGTTCTTATGTGTACTACAGTGTGAGACCTCCTACCGCGAGAAGCATGACTTATTCAACATAACTTAATTCGACTATACAGTGAGCACAGTTTCAAGTTTTAACATTTTCTAACTACGTCCTCCGTGTACATATTACATATCATTGCTCGTGAAGAACGTGCCTCTTTCAACACACTAAGTCGATGCGAATGCTCAAATGAGAGAGACCTACGGTGAGAAGCTTGTTGTCTTTGACTCTAAAATTGAAAGGACAAAATGAGTAGAAAGGGAGCAGACTCACGGATCAGATTCACTATCCGAAGTTATGGAAAGTAGCCGTTCGCTCTGTTCGCTCGAAAAATTGGAAGGATGACGATTATTTCTAGTCCTGATGGGCACTCTTAATCTGTTCCTTGGAAGAATTTTGTAACGCTGTACGTGTGGTCGAGAAATTGGGAAGACGGAGACGTCTGGCAGCTCGTCTGAGAGAGTAGTTTACTAAATATCAAACAAACATACCGTGGGTGTCCATAGTCAAGACCAGTGTCTCAAACTGCGACCATATAGAGATGAATGTTCCTCCTTCGACACTGTTTATGCAAAGTAGTGCATTACACAAGCAGAGTTCACGCCGACGAGGGTCCGAGAGAGGGGTACTGTGAGTTGGACCTTAGAAAACGATGTAGAGTCAGCGGGAACTTATAAGGCAAAGAAATCTCAACATGACCCCTAGCCCTATTGTAAGTGAACAGAACGATTTTTTGGAGCCTCCACCTACTCTGCCACTGCAATCTACACTAATTATTTGAAGCATTGAAGGGCACCAGCGTGCGAATAATTCTTACTGTACAAGAGCTTTGTGACCTAAGGACAACACTTGGTGTCAAACCCAATAAACATTCTACGACAACATGTATCGCTACAAGATATTTAAATGAGTCAGTGTTACCCACCGTCCTCCTCCTATACACAGAACAACCCGGGAAAAGTTCCCAGGCTCCTGTTGCAGAGGGTAGATGTTAAAACAACATTGGGAGACACGGTCCCTTGGAACCTGTTTCATCATTAGGTTTTAAATGTTATCCTCGGTCATAGCAAAAAGTTTTTGAGGACGTCTTCGAAAAGTCATCAGAAGTCGAAACGAAAACTGATGTAACGTTGGGGAATCAGGGGAAAATACTGAAGTCTTTGTGTAAATAATCATACAGCCCACAGTTACCTTCTTACTTGCGTGCAATACAATTCAAGTCACCTTTTTTAACAGAGAGTACCGCAGTTTCCAGTTGAGGGATGCGTATGCACTGAGGGCCAATTGAAAAGTTCAAAAACTACTCCAAATAATCATGACAGCATAACATTCTTGGAACTCCAATCTGGCTGACTTCTCTATTTACCTTCTGCCGCCCTCGCAGTTAAGGAATTTGAAAAGTAGTCTGGGTAGTAAACTCTACCCAGATGGTTCGCGAAGCCTGCTTTCTGTGTCGAGGCTACGTTCCTGTGTCTACAAAAGCTGAGCATATGACAAGTGGTGGAGGAAATAATTAGCCTCGTTCAGATGGTACGCCAACCATCTTTTCTGTGATTATTAATGAGAAACTGTGTTGTCGGCATTTGCTGCACTTCACAATGGGGAGTGAGGAGTGTGCATGTATAAACAGATCGTTCCTCCGAGTAAAAAAATCCGAGAACATAGAAGCGTTGACATTAAAGAAGAATCGATTATGGGGACGACACGTCAGAGGAACATAAACCACCACAATAAGCGTTAGTTTTCAGACAAGCATTTCCTCCGTTCGGATGCAACCACACAATATGTTCGAGGGACACTGTTCTGAAGTTCAGCGACATAGCATATATTCGCACCGTGAAACCCGCCCAGGAGTAAGATCCGCAAATACTTGCTTTCTATGGGGACGATCATGCCTGATCTAGCCGGCCTCGATGATGTCACGGACTGTACTCCTCCTCTCGACGATCTGTGGAGGCGGATCTAGACAGCTCGACCTATCCTCCTCTTCCACGCTGGAGACCCAATACCGAAGGTCCGAGAAGCACTTTCATGTCTTTACCAACCGTGTCGAGACAGGTTTTGGGATGACCTCCTCTTCGACGCCCCTTATTGGGCAACGGCGTCGGATCGAGGGCAGCACAACTGAGATTGTGAGGCGGACAACGAATAACGTGCCCAAACCACCTTATTCGTCCTTGAAAGGCCTGTAATACATTTGCGGTGTTGTCACGAGTGTTAACCGCCTCATCTGAGACGCAGTCTGTGTAGTTCATTCGAAGGATGGTCCTCAAGCAGCGATATCTAAACGCCTGCAGCCTTGGCTCATCTTCCATACGCAAAGTCCCACATTCACAACTGCACAGGACTCGCCGGACGGGTACACGGTACACACGATTCTTCGTGGCGATGGAGACGTCGTGTCGGGTCCATGGACACTTTCGAAGGCTTGAGAAAACAGGGCGGACATTATCGATTTGGTAGACAAGGTCGTCCGTACCCTGTCCACTCGGCAGCAGCCTCACCTTGAGGTATTTAAAATTCCGCAAATATTGCCATGTTAAAATTGAAAAGTCAAGTTGGCGAAAGCACGTTTTCGGTAATTCTTCCTCAGGCCAATACAATTACATAAACGAATGAAAATGTACAAAATCAACAGTGTTTATAGATGCCTCAAGGGCTATTAAGTCACTAACACTCATCATCCCCACGCCGCCCGCATGAGAAGGTCGGCGGGTGTTAGTCGTCAGGGCTAGGGGAGGGGGGTAAGAGAGTCTTTGAGTAATGATGTTGGGTTGAGTACACGGAGTACCCATCATCGTGATTGGGGATTTGAGGCGGCATGGCTTCATCACTTGGGGTTGGCGTTGGCCACGGCAGCGAAAGCGCTTGTGTCAGAGTTTTCTGACAGCAAAACACCGGATTCACTAATTAAAATTGTCTACATCTTCAAGTTCACAGCCATAAATCTCAAGAGGTGCCTTCTCCGGGTCAGGAATGCAGTTTGAAAACACTGGTCTCTCCAGCGTTAATGGACAAACCGGCGGGTTTAGTGACCTCATTCACTCGTGACAGCATAGACTGTAGATCACCAAAGCTTGAAGCTAGTGAAGTCCTATAATCAACGTGGTCGAGATTAGTCAGTCAGTGTCGGGGTGCAAACTCAACACCGCTAACTTCGTACAGGACGTTCCTGATAATCCAATAAATGGTGTAGTTGAACCAAATGGTCGAGATGATGCAACCATGCCGGACGTCAGGCCGAATATCAAACGGGTGAGAGAGATTGTTATGGACGAATACATTCGCGGTGATTGAGCGGCAGTAGGCCTTCATAATGGCGATGGTTTTGGCCGGCACATCGCCAGGTTTCCTCATTCGCAACAGGAACTCGAGATGAATAGAATCAAAAGCTGCGGCGAAGTCAGCAAAGCAGACGGCCGTCTGTTATTGGTAGCTATGGCGGGATTCGAGGACGCGCCTCAATGTGAATATCTGGTCGGCAAATTTGCGCTCAGATAGGAATCCGGCCTGGTTCGGCCTTGTTCTAGAGTCATGTACAGCCTGGAATCGACTGAGAAAGACAACTGCAAAGAACTACGTAGCAACTTCGATAAGGCTTATGATGCGGCAGTTCTAACAACTTATCACCCTTCTCGAAGACAGGCCCCAGGATGCCCGAGCCACAGTCATCCGGAACTACTTCATCTGTCCACGCTTGTTCAACCACCTTATAAAGCCAGGGCGCCAAAATGTCGACAAAAACTTGTAGATTTCAGCAAGAATACCGTCCTCTACGGGTGCCTTGTTGTAGCAGTCCTTGTATTGCATCGGTGACCTCTCCTTCAGAAGAGGTCGAATGATGTTGCATAGGTTGGAGAGGGATAAAATGTCGTATCATTGAGAGAGGAGGGGTGTGATGGGCTGGGCATCGAAGTTGAGGAGTCGGAAGTGCTCACGCCAGTGACCGACAATGGCCGAGTTGCCAATAATAAAATCGTCATTCACACCGCAAAAAGCCCCTAAGTGCACAGGGTTCGCCTCTAACTTGGCGGATACTTTGTTAGAGTTCTCGAACGTCACCGACATTTGAGACCTGCTCCGTGGAGGTCACTGTTTCAGTCCAATATTTCTTCCGGTTACCCGTAACCAATTTTGCCGTGATTTTCCGAAGTTGGCGGAAGAAAGCATCGTCGCGGGGCCCAGTCCTAGCCGTCTTAGCAGAGAGCTATAAGGTTCCTTCGTCGATCCAGTAACCGCTGCGTTCCTTAGGTTTATCTTAGAATTTTTTATCTGTCCCATAGACTAATAGTTAACGATGACTGCTGGCTACTGCCTATCATGCTCTGGGGGGTCCGTTCTACTTTCTATTAGATTGGACCCCTTTTGTGTGCTATCACAAATGCAACACAACTGCCGTCATATTTCGCACTTTAGTTTCGATAAGGTCGTAGTTCAGGGTGCTCCTTTCTGATTCTTCTACTTAATCTTGTTCACATTCCCCACTCGTATGCCGGTGACCGTTTTATTACGGCACACTACACACAGTTAATACAACATCACCCCACGGCCACGCTAGGGACCCGCTATTTTCAACATGGCGCATACGTCCCGGTCTGGCTCTGCGCTGACCTGCAGTTTATGATGTGGTGTGTCGACTTGCTTGAATACCTCCGATCGTTAAGCTCCCGTGCATACTCTTTCTCTTCGACTTCTTTTTTGGCGTAGGCAAAAGATGCTTGTACATACTTCTAACATGTCGGGAGGACAGGTCTTTCTATTATTGCAATAAGAAAATAATATAGCGTTATGCTGCCTTCTTCTCGGGTTCCTGCAAAATACACAACTAGTTTAGTACTTTGTCAGAGTACAGATGGTAGGAAGGGCGGCCAGGCAGGGCTTAGGATGCTATTCCAAGGCAAGTGTCTAAGCCTACCAATAATAACAAAGAAAACAGAGTCCGCTGTTGCATGTCGTCACATATTTCTGTTCATTACTTGAAAGAGTGGGGTATGTGGGTATGCCAGTGGATGGATCCAGGAGGAATGAAAGGCCCGGGAAGCAGAGTAAATTTTTCCGCTCTGACGGCCGAAGCAGTAAGACAGTTCAGAATATTGTCTGATGAGAATGTCCGCGTGCAGTGGCGTTGGCAGCGGCCCATCAGATGACACCAAAGGATATCAGATGGGAAGATCGCCAATAAAACCGACGTCGTACCTCAGATATTTTGCGTTTACTTGATGAGCAAACACTCAAAAAATTATTGAGATCGCTAACTAACGCCTTCTTCGGCATGCAATCGGTCGCCCCGTTCACTTGCACTAAGAGTAACAGCAAAAAGCCGGTGTGATGAGCGGGTGCATACCGAAGCAGCGTGGAAAATCTATCCATAATCAAGAGAATTAAATTATCTTGGAAATTTCTGACGGCAACCACAGAAAGGTCAAAAGTGGTCTTTGTGTGCGCGCTCGCAAGTGCCTCAGACAGATAAATTGTTCATAAGGTAACGACCACGAAGTAGCCCG